TGAGTAACCCTCTAAACCAAAGATGAGGCCCCATCACTCATACTGAGCAAAGTCAAGGCTGGCAATTCTCCTGGGTGCCGACAGCAGGACAACAAGCTGATGCTTCACTGTTCTTTGCTAAAAGGATTCACTCATCAGGAAGATGCCAACATGTAGCATCCATATCCCTCCACTCAGTAATCTTAGTCTCATTGGTGAGGTAGAAGTTTTTTTTTAAATATGAAATGGAGATTAGTATATTAATCTTAGAAATATGTAGTCTTAAAGGTCACCTAGTATGCAAAATCCACTTTTTCATGTCTTGTATACATAAACATGTGTCCCCTCTGTGTAAAGAGATTCTGAAACTTTCAGGACAAAATATTCGCTCACTTTTCCATTTATATAAAAACTAGGGCTGTCAAACGATTAAAAATGTTTAATCAGATTAATCACAGCTTAAAAACTAATTAATCATGATTAATCACCATTCGAACTATGTCCAAAATATGCCATTTCTTTATGTATATTGTTGTGGGAATGGAAAGATAAATGAAAGAAGGCGGATATATCCATTTAACATACAGTATGTATGTTTATTATAAAAATGTTATGTGTTTCAAAATTAAAGACAGCCCACACACCTATCAATCATCAAACCGTGGGGTCTTATTTCATTACGTGTTGATTTCTATCAACACGTAATGTTGTATCGATGTATAGAGATGTACTACAGCAAAAGTATTCTCTGTCAGGACGTCCTGCAAAAACACCACGCCGTCATCTTGATTCTGATTGGCCAGAAGACATTATCAAAGATGTTCTATTGAGAAGACGATCACTACGTGACAAAAGTTTTCAAAACCGTTTCTAGTCTTCGGTATTTCCAGACAAGTGGCTACTGAAATCAATCTTACTAACTGCTGTCTGTGCAATTTACTCCGCGCGAGTTGGCGGACTTTATTTAGCTTACTTTAACATCATTTTTCATGGTGGGGCTAAGCCGTTTCTTGGTATGGCTGTAGCCTACCCCAGCGCTGCCACTGGTGGGATGTATGAGGCGGGCCATTCTGCACATGCGTTAAATGCGTTAAATATTTTAACGCAATTAATTAAAAAAATTAATTACCACCGTTAACGCGATAATTTTGACAGCATTAATAAAAACCTGTCTGAAAATGAGCTGATCAGATTTTGGCCACTTTATGATGTCATAACGATTATTTGGCTTGTGTAACCATTAGCCAATAATCAACCAAGGTAACACCCCCCCACCTGAGCACCATTGTGTTCTTTTTAACCAGAGGGTTGTTGG